CTAACTTAAAATTACAAAAAAATGTGTTTTTGTTCTGGTGAATGGACACCATAATGTTAAATACCTTGAAACACTACAATATGTGGTTTCTGTTGAAGATAAAGATTGTAGTTAAGGTTAGGGTTACTTAGTAAAAAATGTATTTTCCAATAAAATCATGTTCCAAGTTGGTATATAAAGAAAAACAATTTTACCAATTATCTTATTTAGTAGAAATATGATGCCACAGTGTTTGTTAATGGGACATGGATTAGAAAATAAACCTGTGATGCGTTTAACCAGAATCAAGTTATTGGTATATCTGTTGTTGATCATTGAAGGCTGAAATTTCTTTGAATTTTTTATTTTGCCAATATACTGAGCTGATTACACAGCCACATTGTTTTTTATTGTTTTATTTTTCATAATTACAGTTGAAATTATCTCTGTTTTCTGTTTGAAAAGCACGTTTTAATGCTTTACTATGAGGTTAAATTGCTTAATCTTAGGTTTCATTTACATACACATCAGAACTGTCTTAACTGAAGGAAACCAATTTGAGGGAACTGAAAATAACTGGATATGTTAAACATTAACTTCAGAAAGTCATCTTGTGAGCTATTTGGTTGCATAACGAAATTCTGTCAACACATAAATAAAATAAATCAATACATCAGTACACCCCTCACATTTTTGTAAATATTTGATTACATCATGTGACAACACTGAAGAAATGACACTTTGCTACGATGTAAAGAAGTGAGTGTACAGCTTGTATGACCGTGTAAATTTGCTCTTCCCTCAAAAGAACACATCACACAGCCTTTTTTGTCTAAACAGCTGGCCACTGGAGTCCTCTTCCACTCCTCTATGACGACATCACGGAGCTGGTGGATGTTAGAGACCTTGTGCTCTCCACCTTCCGTTGATGCCCCACAGTCAATATGGTTCACATAGTAATAAATTCTACATATATTTGTTCTTGTCTTTACTTTTGTTGTTTGCTGCTGATTGAATTAACAGTCAGAATGTGACATGTGACAGTACAAGCTAAATATACATAAAAAGCTGAACTCTTGCTTATGAAGTCTAGTAGAAGTTGAAAAGTGAAAATACTCCCCAAAAAGGTTTCACATGAAATATTGAAAAGTAATCATGCAGTGTAATTTCTGTGTGTGCAGGAGTAATTTCAATTTCTACCTTATACTTTGAGAAATAAGTAGCCTTACACTCCAGAGCCTAAGAAGTTTTGGAAGAGTGCCTTGTTTGCTGTTCTGATATAAGTCAAGTTTAAAGAAAGACAAATGTGCGCGCATCATGTGAACGTGTGCAATTCATTGTGACTGTAAGGATCGCTGGGTGCGCAAAGCAGATGAGAGCCCAAATGCATGACACTGAGTTGAAATTGAGTTCCAGGTTTTATTTATCCCAAGCACGACAACAGGCATGAACAGAACTCACGAGTACAGGAACGTCCAAAAGGTAGCAGGTAATAACACAAGTGAAAGACATGAGGCCAACAAGGCAGACAGACAGAGTTACCGAACACTAGACGAAAGACAAGACAGACCCCCAAAACCCAGACCAAAATAACACTAACTAAACACAAAAGGGCAAAACCAAGGATGGCCAACCGGCAGAGCGTGACAGTACCCCTTCACCGGCGAGCATCTCCAGATGGTCAACAAAACAGCACAAAAACAAGGCACAAGCCGGCCCAGGGTGGGCGGAGGGAGGACAGGAGGAGGGCAAGTTGAGCCAGGGTGGGCGGAGGGAGGACAGGAGGAGGGCCAGACCAGGAACTCTCAGGTGGGTGGCCAGAGGGCAAGGCAAGGGGGCGACAGAGTTCGGGAGGTCGCACAAGCAGGCCAAGGGGACAAAACAGTCCGGGGGAACCACCCAACAGGCAGATCATGCCCAGGAAACAGTTCAGGAGGCCGTCCCGGAGGGCGACCCAGGAAGCCGTGCAGAACAGGGGGGCCACAGAGTTCAAGGGGTTGGCTGGACGGCCAACAGTGAGGCAGCAAACCCACTGGGGGCCGAGCAGGAGGCCGACGGCAAGACCTCTTTGGAGGTCGGCACCCAAAGCTTGGGTGCTCTGGAGGCACAGCTGGGCTGAGGACCACCGGCGAGACAGCTGGGCTGGAGGCCACGGACCGGACACGAGGAGCGGGAACCGGTCTGGCCACCGATGGAGGGCAGGCAGGCGGCTAGCAGCGCTAGCATGCCGGGGATGAGGGCAGGTGGGCAGGCAGGCGGCTAGCAGCGCTAGCAGGCCGGGGATCACGCTGGTTGCAGACGGGTGGTGCTGGTGCCCTGGTCGCCTCCTATGACCACCACGGGAACTCGAAAAGATGGCCAGGCGACTTCCCTCAGAGGAGGACTCCGGGGGAAGCCTAGTCTCCAGGCTATCAGGCCATAGGCTAGCTGCCCGTGCTGCCTCTGACTCCCTGGCCTTCATGGTCAGGTAGGCCAGGAGAGTCATAGTCCCTGAGTCCTGAGTAGGTAGGGCAGGCAGGCGGACGGACAGGCTAGGCGGAGGACTAGCCACGCTAGCCGAGCAGGATACTGGCAGGACAGGCAGAGGGCTAGCAGCGCTAGCCGAACACGTTCCAGGCAGGACAGGCGGAGGGCTAGCAGCCGGGGAGATGACGGCCGGAGGCTAGCGGTCCGGGTGTTAGCCATTTCCAGGCTAACAGACTGAGGAACTGATGAGGACTTGGCTGGGGGATGGGCTGAGGTGTGGAGGAAGTCACAAACCCACCCAGGGAGAGAGTCTGCTGCTCCTGGCTGAGCAGCCAGGCTCTTCCAGGCAAGGGACACGATAGCTGCCTTATGGCTAACATGACTAGCCCCATACCACATATTCCTCAACACGTCAGTCTGTTCCTCAGTTAGAGTGTCTGCTGGGCTCTTAATTGGCCCGGTCATTCTGTCAGGATCGCTGGGTGCGCAAAGCAGATGAGAGCCCAAACGCATGACACTGAGCTGAGATTGAGTTCCAGGTTTTATTTATCCCAAGCACGACAACAGGCATGAACAGAACTCACGAGTACAGGAACATCCAAAAGGTAGCAGGTAACAACACAACATCCAACAAGACTGACATGAGACAATGACTGGGCAAGGACAAGACAGAAACACCAGGTATATATACACAGGGACTAACGAGCAGGGCGGGAGCAACACAGGTGAAAGACATGAGGCTAACGAGGTACAAGTAGGGAGAGAGAGAGAGAGCAGGGGAAAACAGAGACAGACATGCAGAGGGATCACTGGGGTAACAGACATGACAAGGGTTACCGAACACTAGACGAAAGACAAGACAGACCCCCAAAACCCAACAGACCAAAATAACACTAACTAAACACAAAAGGGCAACACCAAGGATGGCCAACCGGCAGAGCGTGACAGTGACGTTGCAAACTGAAGTCTCAGAGCTGATTAAATGCACCTGTGGTAAATAGGTGCATCTATACAGTGTAAGCCACAAAAGACCTTCTCAGAGGTCACAATAAATGATACCTCCAATGGGGCTTCAAAACAATTCAGTGTGCAGATTATTCTTTGTCACAATAGAGTAACTTCTCAGTGAATGTCACAACCAGCACATGACATCAGCTTTTTACTTTCTACTAACATATGCAAATGTTCACCTATAAATACCTCTTAATAGTTTGGTGAATGTGCTTTTGTTCTAAGTATATTTAGTCTTCTCCATTTGACAAATTATTCCAATACACAAGCAACAGTTTAATTAAAATCATATCTTTCATAAAAACATAAATATTAAAAGGTTACAAATGTAAATGTAAAATAATGTGTTTTAATTGTAATTATGATAGAACCTATGGATAGGTACCCAGTGTCAAAATTTAAAATAACTAGTGTTCAGGTATTGTGTTCTAAAAGTATTTTAAACAAAGGCTAAGCAAAGAAGCAAGCGAGCAATGCTGGAGGCTGGGACTTTTATATTCTGTATGGACACAGTTGCTCATAATCTTGATGGCTTCTGCAATCACCTCAAAAGATGAGATTGTCTCAGCATGATAATCTCCCTGCCATTTAAAACAAATGGTGATAATGTGCAATACCCTTACTCATATGTGCAATTTAATCTTTGCTGCTGGACACTGCAGTAACACTCTATGCTGACAGGCAATGTGCAATAATAATCTACACTGCAAGACAGCACTCGGAACACTCAAGTCAGCTCTTATTGTACACTGGACAAAATTATAAACACAACACTTTTTTTCATTTTTTTGCATTTATGGAAGTGGTGTGTGCATTTATTACTTTTGAGACTCCTTTAGCTCCTTATAACTAAGGGATGGTTCAGGATTCAACTGACCAGCCCTGACCATAAGCTTTATCAAAGAGGAACGTCTTAAGCCTATACCGAATACTGAAAGTGTAAGCATTATTGGTCTCTTGATGGGCACACGGTCATGTTATTGTTACAGTGTTTGCAGTATAAATAAATATGTTTTTCCAGCAGGGCAGTAAAATGTCAAGTTTAGCTTTCTGATCTAAGCTTCCATGCTTGACTGTTTTATTGCCAATTAATCAGCCCATATAACTGTCTCACATTTCTATCCACGTAATGTTAGCAAAGCCAAAATAACTTACAGCCCTGGAGAATAAGGTTACATGAAATTACAATCCAATTAACGTTACATATTTCACAACACTGACAAGAAAACACGTTACTTCTCTCAGTGATTATGGCTGGCTTCGACCTAAAGCAATCAAACAACAGTTTTCATTTGCAAGATCCACACGCTGTCGGCTCGTGCTGAATAGTACGTGCAACGTTAGTGCTCCATTTGTCCAAGTTTCACTTCTCTTCTTACTTCTAGTAAACCAGATGACTCAGTTTCATTTTCAGATTATTTTATGTTATGTTACATGCAGGTTAAGGGCAACTAGCACCTCCTAGTGGTTACTTTAAAACTGCTGTCAGCTGAATGTCATTGTTGTAGTGGTAAACTGTGATCACATGGGTAGGGTCACAGTTCAGACCAGCCATTTTGCACTTAGTTTGGAAAACAAGGTGCTTTGTTTTGTTTAATCTTCGGCATCCACCTGTATTGAACTCTGGATAAGCTTTGATTGTAAGTTATATTACGTGTTTTGACTTTATAGATAAGGACTGATGCAAATATTTCATATTTGGTGAGATTTATATTTAATTACATAATCTGTTTTTGCCATGTGTAGTGCAGCCATCCGTTTAATTCCAGCATGTACATTTTTACACAGTTTTTAGTTTCGTTAATAACTTTCTTTGTGTGTTTGCTTTTAGTATCACAGAGCTGTTGGAAAACACTGCAAGAATGCAAGTTGATGAAGACAAACAAGTAAACCGCCCTCAACCTTACTTCCACATGTCACACATCATTTAACCCTTAAATCTGTTTAGCCATCTGTCACCTTGTGTAGCACAATCAGTGGACAGAATATTTCCTCTTCTTCTTCTTACGCATTCATTGTAGTGATGAGTGTTGTGGGGTTTTGTTCTTGGCTGGGTTTCCCTCAATAATAGACCAGAAACACAGAAGTCATTAAGTCTGTATCTTTTAGATTTTGCAATAATTTATTTACATAAGAAAAAGGTATAAAATATGAAAATGACAATTAATACAGATTACATAAAGTTATAATTAAGAAAAATAATAAAAATAATGGAAAATGAATTGAACTTGAGATCACTTTAGCCTCCTCAAAGGAGTCTCCTACCAATATCCTAAAGATTACTCAAAACCCTCAAATTCACTCAGATTAGCCTTCTAGAATCATTGGACATTAAACTTTACATTCTATTAATATTAGATGATTCATTAATTCCTAATTCTTAGAAAGAGATTACTGACCCAATTTTGCCATCTGGAGAAAGTCTACCGGCCACTCCTTGTTAAGTCAAATATAAACCCCCCAAAATTACAGCCACGTAGGCAACATGGTGGATTTCTAACTGCGTCATCTCACTTCTGGTATGCTAGGTCCCTGTGTTATTCAAGTTCAACAAAACAAGTCATTAATATGATATCCCCCTTGAGTAGTTTTCCAGGAAGAAATTTCTCAATTCCCAGAAACACACAAATCTTCTAAACTTTTGGTTGGCAACATGGTTTTCACCAGAAATCAAGGATAAGACATAGACAAGACATAGAATTTAGGTAAAGAAAGTATAATTTTGTTTGTTCTCTTAGCATGAAATACTCATATATACATATACATATACACTTGTATAACATGCTATGATAAGTATGATGACATTCTTCACTCTAATGGATCCTTATCTTGTTTTATGTGTTTAAAATGTCAAATGACCTTCCATTTCCCATCATGTGTATACAAAACTTTCCATGTAACCTTAAATTAATTTCTACAGTGTCTACAGGGACGGAATTATACAAGAAGAAGAACAACGCAGTGATGAAACGCGCTCTGTAGTGCTGTTTGTCTGTTTACGGCTACTGTAGAAACATGGTAGCGCAACATGGCGACATCCATGGAGGGGGGGTCCTGCAGTGTCTGTAGATAGAAATGTCTCATTCTAAGGTAAATAAAATATAATGGTTCATTATGTAAGGTCTTTATACACCACTGGAAACATAGTTATGGATATTATATGACATTTCTGTCTGGCAAGGCAAGGCAAGTTTATTTGTATAGCACAATTTAACAACAAGGTAATTCAAAGTGCTTTACATAAAACATAAAAGCAATATATAATAAAAGTTACAGTGTTAAAAGAGTTAAATGGAAAATAATAAAAAGCTAGAAACAAAGAAAAAGAAAACAGGACAGTAAAAGTTACAGTGCAGTGTAAGTTATCAGTAAAAAGAAAAATCTTAAATATTTAATTAAAAGCAATGGTAAAAAGAGAAGTTTCAGCAGACCTGCAGTTTTCTGGGAGCTTTTATTGGTTGGCTTGGATGATGATTGGCCAGCTTCAGAACAGTTTGACCAATGAGCAGCCAGGCCAGACTGCACAGACTTCCAATCATACTGGAATCCACCTGGAAAGGACACAAGAGAAAACACAGGGATGGGGGAAAGACAGAAAACAGGACTTGGCTTGCTTGGCACGCAACACAAGATAAACTCATGATAAAACAGTAAAAGTTGAACTTCAGACTGGTTTACAGTGTTTTCATACTGCTGGGTGGAGTTTTTATTGAAGCAGGTCACACTGTGTCTGAATCTAATCCACTTTTTCTACACAGACCGAATCAAGCTCCTGGACTGACGGACATTTATGGAAATAAGTTAGGTAAGTGGAACTCTGCTAAATCTGAATTCCCTTTTCTTCTTCTTTCTTTCTTTTTTTCTCTGCTAAAAGTGTTTGCGCAACAAATTGTGTTGCAAATTCTACCCACTACTCAAGCAAAAATTGTCCCTCATAGACCTCATGGTGGCACTATAACAATCAACTTTACATTTTTGCTATTATCTAGAAAACGGTTTTGTTTAGAGTCAAACCTCGCTGAGCAGTCCTGGGATATTCTTCCACTAGGGGGCGCTGCACTTGAAAAAGTTTATACCTCGTATAAATTGCGCTGCATGGATTCATACAAAATTCAGATTGTACAATCTAGGGCCACTACTCAGTTGATGCATAAAATTTGGTAATGATTGCTCGAAGTGGGCGTGGCTTATTAAGATAAATATAAACTTCTAGACATTTCTCATTCCAAACTTTAAAAAATCTAAGAAAATCACCCTTTCATCCAGGAGAGCTGAATTTCTTTCAGCACATCCACTGATTTGTGGCCAATGTTTACCTTACTGCAATCTATGGTCGACTCAGAAGTCAGTCACTCTATATTTTTCAGAATATGCTAATTCAATTAACATCTCTATCTCCACAAGTCTTTCTTGAAACGCTCTCAAACTCGATAGAGTCGTTCTCTAGATGGCCGATATGAAGTTTTTCAAAGAGTTTTTATATTGGTCAAACGCTGAGTCTGCAGTTATATTCTGTATCTTACTTTAACTTGTACAGAATGCACCGCTTTTTTTTCTTTTTTTTTTTGCTCAGTGTTCAAATCAATGATGAGTGAGGCAAAGATAAGGCAAGGAAAGTAATGGGAAGTTAGTATTGTAGTTTGTCTGCTGATTTGGCAGGTTATCAACACGGTGAACAGCAGCAGCAGAGAGTGTCTAGTGTTTAAAAGATAACATCCTTCAGGGTCTCAGTAAGTCAGGATAGTCCCAACTAGCATAAATGTTTCATAATGTTTTGTGACTCATGTATGATGCGATTACGACTTTTATGAAAAACTGCTGATTTGAACAAGGTTTTGTAAAATAAATATTCGTTCCTCTGACAGTATCACTATCAGATTTAGTACTTAGACACAGTCCAGTTTTCCAGAATATTTGGACGAAACCCATGGTTTGATTAACCAGATACTTTTTCACTAATCACAGTGAGCATTTATTTAGATCAACCTGAAGGTGGCATCATTTGTGCCAGAAAATTATATCAAGTAATGCCCTTAATCACCTAATCAAAATTTCCCCAAAAGCAAGGTGCTAAAATGTTTATCTGATGATATTTTAAATCATCACACTGTTTTCGCCACAGATTCCATGTGTAAAGGAAAAAGGAGCTGGCTGACTGTCTGCAGAGCGGTAAGAGGCTTTTTCACACAAGACTTTTGTTAAATTAATACTAACATCCACTAGATCTTATCAAACCACTATCAATAATATTAAGGTGTACTGCATTTAGAAATCCCGACAGTATGACTTTCAATACCGCCAAAAACTCAAAAACACTCCTCTTTCTTTTATACTGATCTTCACTAGCAAGGACCACGCCACAACAATGTGTGCTTTAGAGTTACATGCAAATAGGAATGTGTTCTTAACATTAAGCAAAAAAAATAGGTTTAATTCTCTCAGGTGTATTTCACAGGTTTGTGATGACAACGACTCTTCAGCCATCCAAGAGGCCCTCCCTTCATTAGCATTCAATATATTTGTGGTCAAGAAAATTCAGGGAGGGAGGTCTTAAAAAGCAAGCTGGAGTAGCCATCACAGGAGCAATGGTCCTTTTTGATATTTCCATTGTAGCCGGTCTTTCACCTACCTAATGGGCCTTTTAAGGTTTTTCACAAGATCTTCGTGGAGCTGGAGGATGGGAACCAAAAAAATGTTCTCCAAAGTCCACAAATCTCAAGGTCATCTTACTGGTCTAAAAGCCATACAGACATTGGTCAGACAAGGTGGAGGACTGTGGAGGACACTTTTTTGAAAGTGTAGTATTGAAAAATCTGTACAAAACGTATTTGTTATTGCACTTTTTTTTATTTGGGTGTTTGAGTGGAAGTTTAATATACTCTTCTTTTGGTTGCTGCGTTTAGTTGAAAGTTATGAAAAGTAAAAAAAATTTCATTTTCCACAAAACATGTCTTAGAGTATGATTTTGTGCTTCACAACTATAACACTAACTTGTTCAATATTTTTTCCACATCCTTCTTGTATTAGTTATTTTTATAAACATTTACTCATCTTAATAAGACACCGTTTAGTTTAGGTAGCTGCAAATGTGCATTGTTAATGGTTAACAAGTGCATAATAAAGGATTTATTAATTTAAATAAGTCTTGCCTTTCTTGGAAGAGAAAGGACAACAACACCACAACACATGAAACAAATAACAGGTGGGTAAAAAACCTGTCAGATAGTGAACTCATCCAATCAGAGCAAGACATTCTGGCCAAAGGATTAAACTTTGGCATCACGCCACAGCAGCTGCCTATAGTGGACCTCATCACAGCAACAGAATCGGCCATTAAGAAAAACAAATTCACTGAAACAGAAGCAGAAGAGCTAAATATCAGCAGCCCTTTCTAATGCGAAGGCTACCCCTTCCAACCTCACCATCCAAGAAAGGAAGGCTGTGACATCACTGAGCAATGATCAACAGATCACTATCCTACCTGCTGACAAAGGAAGATGGTTTGGAGACAAACACATATGAGACACTGAGGCGAGACCCAACCAGCGGGAACAAGAAAAAGCCTTCTGGGGAAGACCCTGCCAAATCTGACCAGTGATGACATGTATAGCCGCATGTCGTCATTCCGCCGCTGGTTGTCGAGGTGGTGTCCAGCAAACGATGTGGGCTTTGTTGATCATTGGCAGACTTTCTGGGGAAGACCTGATCCGGAGAGACGGCATCCATCCCACTTGGGAAGGAGCAGCTCTCATTTCTAGAAATCTGGTTTAAAAGTTTATTAGTGGACCAAATCCATGACAACCCAGAGTTGAGACCAGGAGGCAGAGTCGCAGTCTAACACACTTCTCTGCGCCTCCATTTCAGGAGTTACTTAGTGAAAATCCTATAGTGACGGTGTCTGTCCCCCGACCATCGAAATTATTTAAATCAAAGTTAAACAGAAGAGGAGAAGGTCTGATAGTGCTGTAGCTAAATTTAAGGATGCGATTCCATCAGCTCTAAATTCATTATCAAGTCACAAAGTCACAGAGGACTCCTATGCTAATTTCAGTCCCTCCCAAATCGATCATCTTGTTGATAGTGCTGCAGGCTTGCTTGGAAAATTCTCGTTTAATTTGGCAAGATAGTCTTAAAACTTATAGGAAGGCCCTCCGTAATGCCAGAGCAGCGTACTACTCGTCATTAATAGAGGAAAATAGGAACAACCCAGGTTTCTTTTCAGCACTGTAGCCAGGCTGACAGAGAGTCACAGCTCTATTGAGCCAAGTATTCCCATAGCTCTCAGTAGTTACGACTTCATGAGCTTCTTTAATGATAAAATCTAGCTATTAGAGACAAAATTCACCAAGACCTGCCCTCAACTGGCACCAACTTATCTCTAAACTCAGGAACCTTAGAAACAGCTGTAGAACCCGATATACTGTATGTTTAGACTGTTTTGCTTCACTCAATCTTTACCAACTAACTTCAATAATTTCTTCATCTAAACCATCAACCTGCCTCTTAGACCCCATCCCGACTAGGTTGCTTAAAGATGTTTTACCCTTAGTCAGCACCTCTATACTAGATATGATCAATCTATCTTTATCAACAGGCTATGTACCACAGTACTTTAAAGTAGCTGTAATTAAACCTCTTCTGAAAAAGCCCAAACTTGATCCGGATGTTTTAGCCAACTATAGACCTATATCTAACCTTCCATTTCTCTCTAAGGTTCTGGAGAAAGCAGTTGCTAAACAGCTGTGTGACTTTCTACAGAGCAATAGTTTATTTGAGGATTTTCAGTCAGGATTTAGAGCTCATCATAGCAAAGAGACAGCACTGGTGACAATTACTAATGACCTCCTTATTGCATCAGACAAAGGACTTGTCTCTGTACTGGTTTTATTAGATCTTAGTGCTGCATTTGATACCAATGACCATCAGATCCTATTGCAGAAACTGGAACATTTCATTGGCATTAAAGGAACCGCTCTAAGCTGGTTTAAGTCCTATTTATCAGATCGATTTCAGTTTGTACATGTTAACGATGAGTCCTCCATGCACGCCAAAGTTAGTCATGGAGTTCCTCAAGGATCTGTCCTCGGACCAATCCTCTTCACTTTATGTATGCTTCCCTTAGGCAATATTATCAGGAAATATTCCATAAGCTTTCATTGTTATGCAGATGATACTCAGTTATATCTATCGATCAAACCAGATGAAACTCATCAGTTAGCTAAACTTCAAATGTGCCTTCAGGATGTTAAAACCTGGATGACCTGTAATTTTCTAATGTTAAACTCAGATAAAACTGAAGTTATTGTTCTGGGGCCTAAGCACCTCCGTGACGCATTATCTAAAGATATAGTTTCCCTTGATGGCATTGCCCTGGCCTCCAGCAGCACTGTGAGGAATCTTGGAGTTATCTTTGATCAGGACATGTCGTTTAAGTCTCACATTAAGCAAATTTCAAGGACCGCCTGTTTTCACCTACATAATATTGCGAAAATCAGGAACATCCTGTCTAAAAATGATGCAGAAAAACTAGTCCATGCATTTCTTACTTCTAGGCTGGATTACTGCAATTCCTTATTATCAGGCTGCTCGAAAAAGTCCATTAAGACTCTTCAGCTGATCCAGAATGCTGCAGCACGTGTTCTGACAGGAACCAGGAAAAGAGATCATATTTCTCCTGTTTTAGCTCCTGTCAAAGTGCTCCTCCTCAGGTGACTCCTGAACCAGCCTCCCTTAGTTATGCTGCTATAGACCTCAGACTGCTGGGGGATTTCCTATGATGCACTGAGCTCCTCTCTCCTCTACTTTCTCTCCCTCTGTATGCAACCTCATCCCATTATTGCATGTTACTAACACAACTTCTCCCCTTTCTGGTAGTCTTGTGCTTTCTCGTCCCTCTCCTCTCTCCTCCTATCACTTCCTGCAGGTTTTCTGGCTCTGGAGCTGTGGAGTCTGGATCTGTGGTTGCGGGTCACCTGCTGCCCCCGTGTTCCTGCTCGACACCCTCTGCTTCAACGACTATTGTTACTAGTCCTATTATTATTATTGTTATTATAATCATTAACATTACGATTGTTACCATTAACACTACTATAAATATCTGTACCATTTTTCATTTAGTCTATAGCAACATCACCTTTACTGTCTGTACCTCTGTGTGTGGATATTGTGTAGGCTGCCTCCCTCCCCTCTCTCTCTCCTTATATCCCTCTCTTTTTCTCTCTGTTCCTCTCCTTTCCTTGAATGTATATATGGACTACCCAAGATACACAAAGAAGGCAGGCGGATTTTCAGCAGCATTAACTTGGTCACCTACAACATTACCAGACATATATCTACCATTCTGGGCCCCTTGGTTGGCAACAAGCTTCACCACATCCAAAACTCCATTGACTTTGTAAAAACGTTCAAGAAGTGAAAGTGGATCCAGCTGAAACCATAGTGTCCTATGATGTGACTTATTTGTTGGTCACACCACATGACATTTTGTAAGGCCGCAGACAGTACGCCTACCGACAATCGGGTCCATGTAAGTGCTTCTCAGCCATGCATTTAACTTCACACGCTTGCCAGAACGTGTACCGCGAGCACGCCAATCTCACCCGGGGCAAGAAAGTTGACTCCCAGGTTCCTCTGGCACCATAACCAGGAAGAGTGGAGGATTTGTACCATGTCCACCCTCAACATGTGAAAACCTCTAAAAAGAACCCCAGATATTGAAAAGGGCCTGGCGCTCATAAACCAGTAATGATTTAATGTTATTAACAAGCAGAGACGCCACCAGAAGCAAAACAAATGGCACAAACAATGATGATGGGACAAAAACAGGAGCATGCCATGACAGTCGCCACCATCTCTCCATTACCACAATGGTACCCGATAACTAGAGCACCTTTAACTCACCTAACTTATCAAAACCACCCACTGATGAGCACAGCAAGCAAGACCCGGAGTGCACTGACAACAATTAAATAAACTCCCTGGTACCTGCCTAACTTCACACTGAAACAAAAGTATCTTCTGAGATGCGCTGGGCTCAAGACATCTTTAAAAGCACAACTTCAGTAAACCTCAGCCATTTGGCCAAGGACGTGGTAGACACGCTCACTAGGAGGTTCATATCCATGGGCACTAGCCTTGGTCCCCAGTGTGTCTCTTAAGGTGTCGGGGAGTGAGGTGTACTCACTGCCACAATTTGCTAAAATGTTCTGTACTCATACAGTGCCTTCCTAGTCTTCCGAACACTCAAAGTTCTTTTTCACCACTAGTTGTTGACCATGATTAGTCTAGGCGTACACATCTGAAGCAGGCTGAGAATGGCTTGAAAACAGATCTGAAGAACTGGGTAACACAGCTCCTCTTTGTTGGTGTCACCAGGTGTCCAAGTTTGTCCCACTCTTGGACTGGCTGTGCAGTTGTCTGAAAAGCAGCTACATCATCATCATCGTTTTCATTCATAGCGGGCTCATCAGTGATTGCATCTTCCTGGGAGACGATCTTAGTAGCGCTGGTAGTTGCAGTGTTGTGACAAGCACTTTCATCAGATTCAGCTGCCTTGACTGCATCCTTGAAGGGGCTGGGCTTATTCAGATTGTGGTTCTCATCGGCCATCTTCCCCTCAATGCTCGTTACAGCGTTGGTGGATGTAACCTCAAGGTTTTCCCCAGATGACAATTTTTCCGGTTCATCCTCTTTCAGGTCAGTAAAGGTGTCGTACCATACTTCCTCCTTAGACAGCTCCTGATCCTGCTCTGTCTTGTTACAATTTGGGATCAGCGTAGAGATCGTTTGTTTACATATTTGAAGAACATTGAAGACATCTCTAACTAGTAACTCTAATGTCTGTTCCTGCATGATAGATTTAAGCCCCAGCAGTTTGCTCTCCCCAGTACTGCCACTGCCGCTCCCACAACCTATGAGCTCCGCAGCTATCCTCTCCTTTATTTCACTCACCACAATCATTGTTATGGCATCTTTAATACCCATCACGTCCATAAGAATCAGTGGAATGATCTCACCCAGATTTTGGGATATTAGGATTCCCCCCCCTACCGCATCAGAAACAGAAGCCCTTCTGCCTGATTTGGAAGGACTTTGAGTCAAATGCAAGTCACTCTTCTGTGCCAGACTTTGTTGGAATTCCTTATAAACATGTACAGATACAGTGTTCATAATCTCCACACACATGTCCTGTAGGATATTTTTTGTGGCCTTTGTAATGCACTCGAATGGCACCATGGTACAGTCATCCGACGCCAGCTTGACCAGGTGTAATTGGACGATTGGACGAAGCAGCTCCATTATGGGCTGATGCATGATCTTGTGTCTGCTTATTTTAGGCATTGTACCGACTTGTCTCTAGAATTAGAAAGCCTTTCTGAATGTACAAAATATACAACAAAAATTTGAGTGCTACTCCTTATCAGTGCAAACCACAGAAAAACTAGAAACAGTTAAAACTGAACTTGCACTTGCATGTAACAAATAAGATACAAAATTTTAAACGAAATATGACGTGCTTTGCTGAGTAGCACTGTGCATAAGATAAATTTCCCCTCTGGGACAATAAAGTATCTATTCTGTTCTCTTCTAATATTAAAAGGCTCAGCAGAATCTGTTAAGTGTTCTTAAAGTTTGTGGAATTAAGAGTTCTGATTGCCCGGGCAAGAAACCGTCCTTAAGTATGTTTGTCCAACTCTTGATGCACCTGTACCGTCTACATGAGGGCAGGCGATTGAACAGGTGGTGACCAAGATAGGAGGGAACTACTTTTACCAGGTAGGCCAGAGTGTAACCGAAGATTTTTTTAGCCACAAGCTTTTTTTTTATCAGTGCTGTCGTGTTAGCAGGAAGAGAGCTTCTGAGAAAAACTGCAACTAAACACTTGGGTCTTATAAGCCTGCAGACCAGATTTCATCATCAAAGGCACTGGACCTTACTCCAGAAAATGGTCATGTATGAGGCAAGATTTGTTTGTGATGGATTGTGCATTAAACAGTTCAATCTTGATGGTAGATGGAGCAGTGTATCCACACCACGTTTTCCATCCTGGTCAGTGCGTAGTGTTGCCGTGGAAACTCCAGCGTTACTAGTCCAAGGAGTGGCAGCGCCCGGTTGACGTGTTGGAGATCATGTTGGAGAACTTCTGTGAATGCGAAGGAGTCCAAGTTGTTTAGTGACCGATATGTGTTTTGTAACGTTTCTCTTGTGGTTTGTAACAGAAGATGTTTGAAACGGTGAGAAGTGGGTTACTGGTGATACTAAAAGCTGCTAACAGTCAGTAATGAATGTGATAGCAGGGCCTAAATTTCATCTAACAGTTGGGGGGGGGGGGGGCAATAAACATTACATATTACTCAGGAGCCATTTTTGAAGGGGACACAAATAATCTGTCTGTTTCTGCTCTCAGGGCAAACTGACATTTCTGGATTTGGGTGGACTCTGTGATGTTATTTACAGAAACCCAACTAATACAGTCTGCATTATCATCTTGAATTCCTAATTCTTATTATTTTAAGTTTATTTTAAGTTTTATTTAGCAAATATCTCATTTCCTCTTGCTCATGTTGACTGTGATCATTGTTGGGGAATTGGGGATTTTTAGGTCTCTGTAAATAATATTAAACATATTATGGTCTACACCTTCGCTATATAAAAAGTGCAATGAGATGACTTTTGTTATTAATCGGCGCTGCATAAATGAAATGAATAAACAATATAGAGGTGAAAAGTAGTGTGGGCTATCAGCCAGCTCACATCATCAACAGCATAAGTTAAGTAAAATAAATGCTAATTACGAAACTCTGAAGGTAGGAGAGTTAAGTGTATTAAACAAGCTATACAGATAACTTCTGACATTAACCTACAGTGTCTCCATTCGCATGTGATGCACTGCTGCCGCTGCGGGTGATGTGGGCAGACAAGACATTCAACTAAAGTCAAGGAAATGGTACGGTCCACTTTAGGGGTGTCTGAAATCGTATTTCAAGATTCTTGAAGTTAAGGCACGAGAATGGGAAATATATTGTACTATTTACAATTACAGGTAAGAAAGACTCACCTGAACTGCTGTTTTTGCCTCTTTTCAGGGGTCCAAGCCTTAAGTAGGGGGGTCAGACATCACTAATCCCCCCCGTAATTCTAACCATGTGAAGGCTGTAGGTCAGATGATCACAGACATCAGCAGCGTCTGTCAGAGTCTGCAAGTGAAGGTGAGATATGAGAACCTGGACAGGACGTGAGAACCCAGACAGGTAACATGACACTGTTATGAAAACGCTGTTATTTACTGTTTGTAGATCTAAATATTCATGAATTAACTGACTACAATATTATTTAAATGTTTTTTGCCTAAATGAGCCTTTTCAGGTTGAGTTTAGTCTGAGTGAATCTGCACCGGGAAATAAATTTGGTTTTAATCTCAGATGACTTTACTAGTGAGATATGGGGGCGAGTCAGAACTGGTCTGACAGCCTATACTACTTTTTATTCACTATCTGAAAGTTGATCAGCTGGGTTTTTTTTCTGACTGTGCAAAACAACACACACAACTTTGTATCTCTGGAGAGAATCAGCTGGTCGCATTTGCTATTTGCTACATTCTGGACATCCTTCTGTGGATGGGGCCCTTTAAATAATTTAATGATATTGGTGTTTAAAAGGCTCTATGTGTCAGCGTCTGAAAAATGTATCTGTTTCACCATCGTCAACAATCAGACCCACATTTTTCATTGTTGTTTTGTTCTGGTATCCAAAGTGATGTGATTTCAGCAACAAACAAAAAAAAAAACAGGTTCTGGTTTGTCAGTGAAAAACAAAGCAGAACCTAGAATACATACATAGAATAAATATCTTACACGTTCTTACAAAGTCGGACTATAGGAAAGTCCAGATTATGGGTCGAAAATAAGCTAAAACTTTGCTCTGATAGTTCCTGGATCATTTAAAACTTCCACCCCAGGAGCAGGGACTTTTCTGGGGCAAGGAACTGAATTTATACCCTGGTTCCTCTGGTGCAAATGCCAGTAATGTTCCTGCAGTGAGACAGATGCAGCACCAGCAGTTATAGATTTGTAGGTCTTCATGTTAAAACCTGTCCCACCGAGTTTCAGATGAGGAAATATGCTGTAAAATTAAAAATATTTCACTTTTACTGTTTAAAATCAAAAAGACGTTTGAGAATGTAACGTTTGAGACGTTACATTTAAACAATAATGTGTTTTATAAAAATGTAAATAATAATAATATATTTTATTTGTAATGGACTTTAGATTTGAAACAAATCTCAAAGTGCTAAATCCACCAAAAACACAGGAGTTTATAAGAAAACCAGCTGTATCTTTCTGCATGTGGTACGGGTGTTCAAAATGCAGCAGATGTTTCCTTCCTCGTCTGTAGATGCACATCAACATTTCTTCACCTACAGACTGCTGCTGCTGGTTCTTTCTTCATCTTCATGTTTTTTAAGTTTGCTGCTGCTGCTTTTTAACAAATTCTCTCCTTTTTTCTCTGTTTTTTCTGAACTTTTCTCTGGATGTTCATATTCACATTCAGTCCTATAGGGGACGCTGGCAGCACTTTAAAGTCAAGCTCAGATGACTCCAATATGACTCCAGTTTGAACTATTAAAATGTTCCTCTCAGGATTGATAACATGACCAGAAATCCTGTATTCTGTTATAGACGTAAATAATGTGTGGCTCTGACAGCCTGTCGTTGTGTTTGTGTGAAGGTGTGGCCTCTGCTATGAATCAGTGTGAGGAGACGGAGGAGGGAGTCCCTCCCTCTAAAAGCACTCTGTGGGGGGAACATGGCAGCCAGACCAAAGCTCAGAGGTAAGAAGATCTCTATCTGTCCCCACTATCTATCCACCATCCTCGTTCACACTGAAAGCTCTGAAAGTGTGTGTGTGTGTGTGTGTGTGTGTGTGTGTGTGTGTTGTTTTTAAGCCCATTGCTGAAGAGCTACAGAAAGTGTATTCTTAAAAATATGTCTTTTTTAATTTTGTCTATAACATGTCCTACAGACAAGACCTAGGTTGGATTTCATCACAATTATGAACATGCCCACAGCCTCAAATGTTGGTATTACAAAAAACATGGCAAGAAAACTTCAAGTCAAAGCAAAACACCCAATGCTGACAGTAAAACGTTAAAGATGTGTTGCAAATAAACATGCAGGTTGCCAAATGCTTTACTATTAGATTTTATTGATTTCACGAACCTAATTATACAGGAAAATATAAATAAATACAGAAAAAAACTTAAAATTTACAATTTCTCAAATGAGGCTTTCTCTTCCCTTCCTCCCTTTATCTCTTCATTCATGTTTCCACACCCTTTTTCTTTCATACCTCTATCCCTCCTTCTGGTCCATTAACTCCTCCTACATATTTTTAACTCCTCTCCGGCCATAATATAAGTAAACTCCAAATCCATATCTTTATTCGTTGACGGTGAGTTAGTTTGTTTTTCTGTTGGGACCATATGGATGAGTTGTCGCTGGGCTCTTGGAGTAATTTTGGTAGGCTGGCCACTCCTAGGAAGGCTCATCGCTGTTCCAAGTTTTTTGTAACCCTTCCTAGTTTGACAGATGTCAACAACCTTGTTTCTCATTTGTCTGCTTTAGATTATGGAATAATGTGTTGCTTTTTGAGATCTTTTAGCCTACTTCATTTTGTCAGAAAGGTTATATTTAGGAGATTTCTTGATTCAGTAGGTTTGGCAATAAGTAGACCTGGGTGTGGCTAGTGAAACTGAACTCAGCTTTCCAAAAAATGTGATTCATCATCACAGTTAATTCATAAATTGAAGGGGGTCAATTACTTTTTAACATAGGGCCAGGTAGGTTTGGATTTTTGTTCTCTCTTAATAATAAAACCCTTAATTTAAAAAACTATATTTTGTGTTACTTGTGTTACCTTTGTCTAATATTTCAATTTGTTTGATGATCTGAAACATTTCAGTGTGACAAACTGAAGGAATCAGGAAGGGGGCAAACACTTTATTTATTATTATATTACCATTTTACAACTCTGCTCCCAGGCTAATGAGGGTAAGCAAATCCCTCTACCACATTAAGGTGGACGCTCTCTTTAGACTTGGGGTGACTTGGTTACTAATAGTTGGACACAGAGAGCTGTAATTAAACATTAAAATGAAAAGCATAAACTCCAATGTGATATTGTTTTCAAAGCAACATTATGTTGTAAATTATCTTCAAATAACAGATTCAAAATCATTTTGATAGGACAATGACTTGTAATAAGGCGGCATCTCTGCCATTACTGCTCCTGGCTGCCTGGTAGTGCATTATGTAACTTTGGATCCCCTTGCTGTTTTTGAACTGGGTCACTTTGATTGTCTTCAGATTTGAAATGTTAACCATAAATGTGTAGCTGAAGGTTTGAGAGGTGTGTTGCTCTGTCTGTCTGTTTCTGTCAGTGTTTGTCAGCAGAGACCAGACTCTCCTGGATCCAGCTGTGTGTCCATGAAGAGTGACCAGTCCAAAATTGAACCTTATAACTTCAGAGCTGGACAGCACTCTGCTGAAGAAAGGTAAGACTTTAAACCAGGAGAGTTTGTTATTTTGCAGCTCTACTTCTGTCAAGTCATGACATAAAATGATCTGCCAGCTGGTCTCAACTTTCATTCTCCATTTAATTATGAAACCATGAAATCAGATGAAACCATGGTGTCCTATGATGTGACCTCTTTGTTCACCTGCATCCGCACCATGGAGGCAGTAGAATCCGTAGGAAACGGCTACTAAAAGACAACGCCCTGGGTAACAGAACTAGCGTCAGCCCTGACCAGATCTGTAAATTACTTGACCTCTGTCTAAACACCACCTATTTCCAATACAACGGAGGATTCTACAGACAAAATGGGCTCACCAGTGTCACCTATTGTGGCAAACATCTACATGGAAGAAGTGGAGGAAAAAGCCCTCAACTCCTTCAGAGGAACAGCACTGAGCCACTGGTACAGGTAAGTGGATGACACAAAATTAAAAGCCAGGAAGTGCAAGCCTTCACAGAACACATTAACTTCGTGGACAGTAACATCAAGTTCACACGAGAACACCTTCTCGTGTGAACACACAACAACAGTTTGGCCTTCTTGGACTGTGCTGTATATCTGTATAACATTGAAGAGGACAGGAGCCTGCAAATTGGGCTTTAGAGGAAACCCACACACACAGACCAATACTTACTTTTTGATTCCCATCACCCACTGGAACACAAGCTAGGAGTCATCAGAACCCTGCAACACAGAGCGGACCACAAAACATCAAGTGCAGAAGCTAGAGAGAAGGAACTGAACCACCGGAAGGGACCACTTACAGCCTGTCGATACCCTAAATGGACCTTTGTGAAAACAGCCACAAGATCCAGGAAGAGGACCAACACTACCGCGGAGGAGGAGAAGAAGGTCAAACGCAACAACCTTGTGATTCCATACGTGTCTGAAGTATCAGAGAAACGCAGGAGAATTTTCAACAAACACCACATCCCTGTGTTTTTTAAACCCAAGAACACACTAAGACAGATACTGGTACACCCCAAAGACCGCACACCCAAACACAAGAAAAGCAATCTAGTGTATGCGGTCCAATGCAGTGAGGAATGCACAGACCTGTATATTGGGGAGACTAAACAACCACTACACAAACGCATGGCTCAACACAGAAGGGCCAACTCCTCAGGTCAAGACTCTGCAGTCTACTGAAGGACAGAGGACACTTGTTTGAGGACCACCAGGTGCACATTTTAGACAGAGAAGATGGATGGTTTGAAAGAGGTGTCAAGGAAGCATCTACACCAGGGTTGAGTTTCCCTACCAGTCAGTCAGAACTGAAGAAGTCTCTTGGATGAGGGACTTCTAGTTTTTCTTCAACTAAGTCCAGTTGCCCTTGACCTCAACCTTCATCCATCTTCTCTGTCTAAAATGTGCACCTGGTGGTCCTCAAACAAGTGTCCTCTGTCCTTCAGTAGACTGAAGTCTGTAGTCTATTGCTAATCCTAAACTTTGAATTCTCTGCAGTGAGAGTGTTGCCCTCTCTGTGTGAACTTGCTTCCCCATAAATATGTTTTGGAATATTCAACTGCCCAGGTCTTTTGGTAGGAATCAGTGAGGGCCTTGCATTGGAGATTGGTTTATTCTGTCCGTTTGTTCTTTTAGCAGGACTGCATCAATAATGACAAAAGTTGGTGCACTGATTCCAGCCACACACTGTATAATGCCAGGCTAGCTGGAAGACCTTTCCACCTCCCGGGGTCTCATCAGAGCCAGGACAATAAGTAAGGATCCCTACCATCCTGGTCACCATCTATTCGATCTCCTTCCATATGGCAGACAGTACAAGTGCATAAAGAGTCGGACAAACAGAGTAAAGAATAGTTTCTTTCCCTAGGCCATCAGAAATCTAAATGCCACAGACTTTAATGCTTTTTTCTCAGTCTCTGCTGAGCATTTTTAAGATAAGTCAGGTAAGGTACTGTATTGTCACATACATGTAGCAAAATTCATTCTGTGCATTTTACCCATCCCTCAAGGGAGCAGTAGGCAGCCACTGTGCAGCACCCGGGGACCAACTCCAGATCTGAGCCAGTCTCATTGGTCAGTGCCACTGACTGCAGAACCTAACATGTTTTTGAGGGTGTGGGAAACCGGAGCACTTGGAGGAAACCCACGCAGACACGGGGAGAACATGCCAACTCCACACAGAAAGGCTGGGACTGCAACTTTCTTGCTGTGATGCCACAGTGCTATCCAGTATAATTTAAATCAAAATGCCTTAGTGTGTATGTGGCTTCTCAAATTTCACCTAGAGATATATTAATGAAAAGAAAGGGGAAAGGAATTTCTGCTCCTAATACTTCTAAGAATTTGGTTACGTTAAACAATCAGAACATAATTTGTTATTCATTGAATGTCAATGTCTGTGAAGGCTTTCAGTCATCCAGGTCATAGTTATCCAAGGAATGTTAAAATCAAGGGCAACTGGACTTCGTTGAAGATACTTGAAGACATTTTGTCTCTAATCCATGGACTTCTTCAGTTCTGACTGACTGGTAGAGAAACTCGGCTATTTAACCTCTGTGGGGTCGTTTGCCAAGATGTTCGATACCGCTGGTTCGTTAGTGCTTCTGGCTGTTGTAACGACAGTCATTATGTTCGTTGGAGACACCCGAGACCACGTCTTAATGACCATTGTTGGTATCTTCACCTGAGGCTAAAAGTGAATGTTTTTTTAGTTTCCTGGAAGTGATTGAAGAGCAGCATTGTAAGTGGGAGACAAGTAAAGAGACTGCTTCTCAACCCGGGTATAAATGGCTTGTGTAAATTGACCCCTCTTTCAAACCAACCATCTTCTCTGTCTAAAATGTGCACCTGGTGGTCCTTGAATAAGTGTCCTTTATCCTTCAGAGGTAGGTAAACTGCAGATTCTTGAACTGAGGATTTGGCCTTTCACTGTCTCATCACAACCCTAGTGTTGAGTATAAAGACACAGACCAGAATTTGTGATAAAAATAAGAATTATGGGATAAATAATATGTCTCACAAATGACAGTGAGCAGCTACTTAGATCAACCTTAATGTGTCATTATAATCCATTAAATGTCCAAAAAGCAAAAAATGCCAAAACATCTATTTATTGATATTTGAAATTATCATACTTTGTTTTCTCCACAGAGACCAGCAGGTTTCGGGTACTCAGTCGTTCCAGCAGCATCCAACAGACCTGGACTCCATATTTATGGTGTGAAAATGTCCACAACAACTTCTTCTTTACCTGTATGGGAAAGAAAAACATAACTCAAAGTGTTATTATTTTCCAGCATCTTGAGGAAAACATTTTAACTTTTGTGAAGAACGAGTTGAAGAAGGCCCAGAAGGTTCTGAGTCCAGATTACCCAGAATGCTTGGAGAGACACAGTGAGGATAAGGAGGCAGTGGACGGTGAGGAGAAAGAGCAGAGGAGAATCAGCAGAGAGGCATTTCTGAAGATCACACTGCACTTCCTGATGAGCATGAAGCAGGACAAGCTGGCTGACTGTCTGCAGAGCAGTAAGAGGATTTTCCACACAAGACATTTCTCATATTAACGCTAACATCCACTCACTGATTTATTCTGTTATCATTTAGGAACTTTTGCTCCAGTTTGTCGACGTAAACTGAAATGTCACCTGCAGAAGAAGTATCAGTCTGTGTTTGAGGGGATTGCTAAAGCAGGAAACCCAACCCTTCTGAACCAGATCTACACAGAGCTCTACATCACAGAGGGAGGGACTGCAGAGGTCAATGATGAACATGAGGTCAGACAGATTGAAACAGCATCCAGGAGACCAGACAGACCAGAAACCACCATCAGACAAGAAGACATCTTTAAATCCCCACCTGGAAGAGAAGAACCAATCAGAACAGTGATGACAAAGGGAGTGGCTGGCATTGGGAAAACAGTCTTAACACAGAAGTTCACTCTGGACTGGGCTGAAGACAAAGCCAACCAGGACATACAGTTCACATTTCCATTCACTTTCAGAGAGCTGAATGTGCTGAAAGAGAAAAAGTACAGCTTGGTGGAACTTGTTCATCACTTCTTTCCTGAAACCAAAGAAGCAGGAATCTGCAGCTTTGAAGAGTTCCAGGTTGTGTTCATCTTTGACGGTCTGGATGAGTGTCGACTTCCTCTGGACTTCCGCAACAATGAGGTCCTGACTGATGTTACAGAGTCCACCTCAGTGGATGTGCTGCTGACAAACCTCATCAGGGGGAACCTGCTTCCCTCTGCTCGCCTCTGGATAACCACACGACCTGCAGCAGCCAATCAGATCCCTCCTGGATGTGTTGACATGGTGACAGAGGTCAGAGGGTTCAGTGACCCACAGAAGGAAGAGTACTTCAGGAAGAGGTTCAGAGATGAGGAGCAGGCCAGCAGAATCATCTCCCACATCAAGACATCACGAAGTCTCCACATCATGTGCCACATCCCAGTCTTCTGCTGGATCACTGCTACAGTTCTGGAGGAGGTGTTGAAGACCAGAGAGGGAGGAGAGCTGCCCAAGACCCTGACTGAGATGTACATTTACTTCCTGGTGGTTCACTCCAAACAGAAGAACATCAAGTATGATGGAGGAGCTGAGACAGATCCACACTGGAATAAAAAGAGCAGGAAGATGATTGGGTGTCTGGGAAAACTGGCTTTTGAGCAGCTGCAGAAAGGCAACCTGATCTTCTATGAATCAGACCTGAGAAAGTGTGGCATCGATATCAGAGCAGCCTCAGTGTACTCAGGAGTGTTCACACAGATCTTTAAAGAGGAGAGAGGGCTGTACCAGGACAAGGTGTTCTGCTTTGTCCATCTGAGCGTTCAGGAGTTTCTGGCTGCTCTTTATGTCCATCTGACAGTCATCAAATCTGGTGTTAATTTGCTGTCAAAAAAACAACCAACCTCCTGGTGGTCTCAAAAATTTAGAATGAAACATCTCTACCAGATTGCTGTGGACAAGGCCTTGCAGAGTCCAAATGGACACCTGGACTTGTTCCTCCGTTTCCTCGCAGGTCTTTCACTGCAGACCAATCAGACCCTCCTACGAGGTCTAGTGACACACACAGGATGTATCTCACTAACCAATCAGGAAACAGCTGAATACATCAAGAAGAAAATCAAAGAGAATCGGTCTCCAGAGAGAAACATCAACCTGTTCCACTGTCTGAATGAACTGAAGGACCGTTCTCTAGTGGAGGAGATCCAACAGTTCCTGGGTTCAGGAAGTCTCTCCATAGATAAACTGTCTCCTGCTCAGTGGTCAGCTCTGGGCTTCATCTTACTGTCATCAGAAAAAGATCTGGACGTGTTTGACCTGAAGAAATACTCTGCTTCAGAGGAGGCTCTTCTGAGGCTGCTGCCAGTGGTCAAAGCCTCCAACAAAGCTCTGTAAGTGCACAGAAAACTGAAGATACCAACTGTATCACATGTGTAGGATTGTTCTCAAATAATGAAAGTCTCAGTGTCACAAGATTTCAACAAATTGAATATTTGATTAACTGAAAAACCTGCATGTTGTTCATCATTGTTGAAATAAAAAAGACCGGTCACACTGTAGTTAATTTAAAGCTAAAGTAAATTTGTGTAGGCTATTGGGATCCCAGAGATGTGAGTATAATTTGTGAAAGATTCAGTATCTGCTGTTTCCAATGATATCTAAAAAACTTTTCTCGTCACCTGAGATCCTAAGGACTTATTAACTCAGTAAGGGCAGCCATAGAAATGGGATGTGTTGTAATTTGTGGTGGCAGAAACATTATCTATTTGTCTTTATCACTAACTGTCCTTCAGGCTGAGTGGATGCAATCTGTCTGAAAAAAGCTGTGAAGCTCTGTCCTCAGTTATCAGCTCCCAGTCCTCTAGTCTGAGCGAGCTGGACCTGAGTAACAACGACCTGCAGGATTCAGGAGTGAAGCTGCTCTCTGCTGGACTGAAGACTCCAAACTGTACACTGGAAACTCTCAGGTTTGAATTAATAAACCTGCAAACGGTGAACAATAACAACCACATGGTGTTATCATTCTTCTCTGTCATTTTTTCCCTCCTCTTTTAAGATACCGCTATGAAAGCACTTTTCACCAACATAACTTACACAAATGTGTTTTCATACATATTCTTAGGCTTACTGGCTGTCATCTGTCAGACGGAAGTTGTGAAGCTCTGGCCTCAGTTCTCGGCACCCAATCCTATTCTCCTCGTCTGAGAGAGCTGGACATGAGTTACAACGACCTGGGTGATACAGGTGTGAAGCTGCTCTCGGCTGGGCTGGAGAAACCACACTGTGTGCTTGAGACTCTCAGGTCAGGATTAAGCTTCTGTTGAGAGATAACCCTTTAACTGTTGTTTGACATACAAGTTAAAATTTTAAAATATACATGTAGTGAACCTACACTTTGAATATTAATATCTTGACAAATTAATTTCATATGCACTTCTTAAAGTTATGTGGCATCACCTAGCCTCACTGTCCGCCCAACGGGTTAAGAATCCTAGGGCATAGTTTAACAGTTACAATCATTAAAAGTTAATACCGTAAAACTTGTGTGGGGACACATTTTAACAAATAAACGCCTGCCTTAATTAAACTCCTGGTCTGGTTTTTATAGAAGTTCTTTGGATGTATAAAACCTCTTAAACTCTTTAACTGCTTCTAACCTTTGGTTGTGTGTCTTTCTTCAAAGCACAATGCTGTGGAGTTTGATGACCGGGTCTGTTGGTCTAATTGGTTTGACAACCTGGTGTGACCCCCAAGAGATTCAGTCAGCATTTGACATGTGTGTGTGTTGGGGACACAAGTTTTATGGCCATTTTAAATTTCCAATTAACCTTTATTTCAGTGAAAGATTAGGTTCCTAGACAGGGTTAAATTGTCATCTTAAAAATCTTGAAGTTAGGGTTAGTAATTTTTAACTCCACAGGGGTGCAGTTGGGTGATTTCCCAGTCATCTGATATCATCTGTAGAATTTAACAGTAATGATTGTACAAAATATTATTTTTGTCATTAAAGATGCTCTGATCAGTATTTTTACATCAACAATAGATCAGATGTCCACGCTGTGTGTGTGCGTGTGTCTCTCTGTCTCCAGGCTCTCAGGCTGTCGGATCACAAAGGAAGGCTGTACTTTTCTGGCCTCAGCTCTGATGTCTAACCCCTCCCATCTGAGAGAGCTGGACCTGAGCTTCAATCATCCAGGAGACACAGGAGTGAAGCTGCTGTCTGCTGGACTGAAGGATCCACACTGGAGACTGGACACTCTCAGGTATGAACAGACAACAAAACCTTACACATTGTTTCTTTGTCACTGACAAACTGAGGGCTGAACAGTCTGAACAGTAAAAGTAGTAGTGTTACAGAAAATTAATAATAATTAATATATTATAGTTATATAAATGGTAATATAATATAATATTGCCGCAAGCGGCAACGATCTTCACATCTCGTTAAAAATGCAACATGTGACATTTTCAGAGACCAGATTCCGATAATTTTTTAAAGTGATGAAAGAATTTGGAGTCGAAGCCAAGCTTTTTTTGAGATAATTACAGAAACGCAAGAGTTTTACAGCATCACCTTGAAATCAGACAGGGTAATTATATGCACCTGACAAGTGGGTGAAATGTTTAGCCCACCTGCAAAATTTTGTATCCAAGTTTTAAGGTTTATGCTTACACTTCTTTGGAAAAAAATAAAAGAAATTGTGACGTGATACAAGTAAAATAGGAAAACACTATTATCCAAACACCTTATTGTTGGCAAGTAGGACTTGGTGAACTGGGGATTTGAACCCTAAAACTTCATATCCCAAGACTACGTGACTCACTGACAGTAAGATATTGAATATCACTGCAGAATTACTGTTTGACCGATAAGAAAACCCTTTGAAAAACTTGATATCAGCCATCTAGAGAATGTCAGTGGGCTAATTTTGGTGGAGTTTGAACAAAGACTTGTGGAGATGTAGATGTTAATTGGTTTAGCATATTCTGAAAAATATAGAATGACTTCTGAATTGACCATAGGTTGCAGGGAAGCAAACTTTTGTCACGTATCAATGGATGTTCTGGAAAAAATCAAGCTCTCTAGGAAGTACTGGTGATTTTCTTAGATTTTTTAAAATCTGGAATGAGAAATGTGTATAAATGTACATTTCTTGTAATAAGCCATGCCTGCTTTAAGCAATCATTACCAAATTTAATGCATCAACTTGGTAGTGACCCTAGATTGTACAAACAAAATTTTTGTACAAAGCCATTTAGCAAATTACAACGTATCAACTTTTCACATATGTGGCGCCCCATTGTGGAAGAATATTCCAGGACTGCTCAGCAAAGCTCGGACCAAGCATCCAAATGGACGCCCCAAGTTTGGTTACAATAGCTTAAACCAAGTTTGATTTATGAATATTTATGTAAAATTGTACGTAAAGAAACACTTTAGATCAGCAAAGTCCGTAGACGATCCTGCCAAAGTTTCAGGTGAATTGGCAAAAATAGGTTTTTGAGAAAAGTGATAAAAATTGGAGACTATTGGAGCAAATGTGCAGATGAATCCAGAGATTAAAATGATGAAAGAAGTTTGACTCCATACGAAGCCATTTTTGAGATGATTGCAAAAATAAGTTGATGTTTAAAGTGTCACCATGAGGTCAATGAGTGCCATTTTTTGCCCGAGTAGTGGGTGGAATTTGAAATCCACCTGCCAATTTTTCCATCAGTTTTTGCTGCACAAACACCTTTAGTGAAGAAGAAAGAAAGAAAGACAGAGAGAAAGACTCCAGCGGATTTATTTCCCACTTTTCTCGTGTCATCAGCGGACTTGTTGGACATTTTGGTGAAAGGCTCTCTCATTGTTGTTAGCCAAATGAAGCACCGTAAGGGAGGGAAACGAGCCGGTCGCTCGTGCACCTCCGCCGGCAGGGACTCCGCACACCGCTACCGGCAATATTTCTCACCAACGTGCGCTCACTGTGCAACAAACTGGATGAACTTCAGCTACTGGTGGGGAAAAACAGAGACTTCATCTTCTGTTCTGTGCTTCACGGAGACGTGGCTGTGTGAACCGATACCGGACTCTGCAGCTGGCTGGCTTCCAACTCTACAGAGCGGATCGCGAAACAGAGCTCTCCGGCAAAACAAAAGGTGGAGGTATCTGTTTTTGAATAACAATGGCTGGTGTACCGACGTGACAGTGATTCAGCAGCACTGTTCTCCTAATCTGGAATTTTTAATCAAACAGGAAACCGTTTTATCCCCTCCTGTGAGTTTGCTTCATTCATTCTGGTCAGTGTTTACATTCTGCTGCACGCCAACGTGCACGACGCACAGCACATGCTGGCCGACCAGATACTGTGTGGAACAGACAAACCCGGACTCCCTTGTCATTGTTCTTGGTGACTTTAACAATGGAAACCTCTGCCAAGAACTCCCCAAAAACAGACAGTTTATTAAGTGTTCAACCAGAGAGGAGAACACTTTGGATCACTGTTACACCACAGTTAGCAGTGCCTATCACGCAGTTACACGCGGTCCACTGGGACACTCTGACCATGTCATGGTCTACCTGATTCCTGTTTACAGACAGAAACTAAAACTCTGTAAACCTGTAGTGAAGACATCAAAGAAAATGGACCAGTGAAGCTGTAGAGGATCTTCAGGCATGCTTGGACTGCACTGACTGGGATGTTTTCAGGACTGCAACCAACAATCTGGATGAGTTTACAGAGGCTGTGACGTCCTACATCAGCTTCTGTGAGGACAGCTGCATTCCAACATGCACCACAGTGAGTTATAACAATGACAAACCCTGGTTACAGCTAAGCTCAGACAGCTGAGGTTGGAAAAGGAGGAGGCGTTTAGGGTGCAGGGCGTTAAAGTACAGGTTTAGCAAGGCGGTGCAAGATGCTAAACAGCTGTATGCAGAGAGACTACAACACCAGTTCTCAAGGAATGACTCTGCTTCTGTCTGGAGAGGATTCAGACAGTTCACCTGCTACAAACCTAAATCCCCCCACTCCATGAACGACTCACGCCTTGCCAACGAGCTGAACCAGTTTTACTGTCGTGTTGAAAGACAATGGGACAGACCTGACACCATCCCCCGTCACACCACTGATCGGCCACAGTCCACCATCTCATCCCCCACCTCCTCCCCCTCTCTTACCATCCTGGAGAGGGATATCAACAGACTGTTCAGGAGGCAGAAACCTTGCAAAGCAGCTGGGGCGGACTCTGTCTCCCCATCCACCCTGAAGCACTGTGCTGATCAGCTGTCTCTGGTGTTTCCAGAACAGTGCAATCCCACTCAATATAACAACAATGGTTTCACTGATGAAAGTTGTTCTGACTGAAACATACGTAGTTGTTGATTGTGTGGTCCTTACTAGTGACTATAAATTTTTTTTTCTTTAAGTATATTATTGTCTTGATATTTTTAGATGTTTCTTTATTGTTAGACCTTTTATCCTGTTGTTGTTTTCTCTGAATATTTTATGTAAAGTTAATTGAATCTGTCTTGAAAATGTGTTTTCATAAATGCAACTGTTTTGTCTTGTGGATCTGAGTCAAGGTTTATGAAGATCACTGATGAGGAAGGTTCATTCTGTATTTTCCTAACAGGGTGGAAAATGGTGGAGAGCAGAGGCTGAAACCTGGTCTGAGGAAGTGTAAGTGTGTGCTCACTGAGATTCTTGAAAACATTGCAGCAAATAGTTTAAATCAGGGATTGGCAAGTGGCGGCCCACAGGTCAATTTTGAATTTCAGTAATAATTTTTAGTTTCACTGGCATTGGAAGCGAGCAGGCCATTTGACCACATTTAAACTGGATCCCAATTGTAGTTGTACTTTGCACTGACAGACTGCACTCCCTCAAAATCCTAGAGGCCCGTAACTAAGTAACTCCTTGCACATAGTCTCATCTTAGTCTAACAAGGCTTCTTCCGCAACGACACGCGACAAAGAGAGAATTGAGTGGACAAAAAAAGAAAACTGGACCAAGAGAACCATGTGTTCCAGGCAATATGGGAAACTGAATTCTGGAAAAAAGATAATCTAACATGGGTTTAGTGTGCCTGGAAACAAAATCAAGCATGAAGGATTTCAACTTAAGTTACTACAACACCATGCAAGAAAATATGACATGTACACGGGAGTTTTTGAAGGAAAAATACATCGACAGCCTAGCCTTTTTACGAAAGCCACTACTACACAGTGGTCCTCTCTCGCAGTATCTTATGCTGTTTCCCTTGAGCTTGCTAAAGTGAAGAAGCTGTAGCGCTGTGTAGAGTACAGATTGCAATTAAAGATTTTTGAAACATGGGAATGAAATACTACCTTGTGGCCATGAGATACTACCTTATTCCCACGTTTTAATTATTTAGCTTTTCTCCCCAAAGCAGAGAGTGCACAATGCCTGCTCCAGGTGCCACCTGCTTAAAGCACTCCTTGGGTGACAGCTATGGATAAAGTTTGACTATTTGATTATATTTTATTTTAACTTAGGTATGAGAAATGCTATGACAATGATGATTGGTGACCCCTAGTTGCAAGGCTAACTGAGCTAATTAGATAAGGGCAACTAGTTCACAGCAGTTTTCTTCAATAACAAGTAATGCTATCTGTTCATCAGCAAACTTCTTAAATGTTTTAACTTCGAATGTAGGCAGAGCAACTGGTCCGAACAGGCCAGCAACTAGAAAATCAACTTGCATGACATACAAACATACAGGCCATTGCTCATGTTGAACCCTGCTTAAGACAGTACTTTATACAGAGCCACCTGTGGGTGAGTGTCGAAGCTTTTTGAGATAACTGCATGCTTACAACATGTCGTGGAATGGGAAGATGGGTAGAAATGCACTACTACCAACTGTGCACTGAAATAAATGTATATTTTATCGTCATTATATACGTCAAGAACATGCATGTTTTGTTTCTTTGTTAATGAAATAAATGAAGTAAATATAATATAAATAATCAATACTTGGCGAATTAAGTGATGGGATTACAGCATCCTACTGGTGGACGTCACAATCTAGCCCCCTGGTAGTGAGGATACAATTTTTGTGGCCCTGTCTGTCTTCAAAGTTGTCCTTCCCTGGTTAAAATCAAAGCTTTTGTAGTTCTCAATTTGAAAGACGAATCCAAAAAGATGGGTCACTCTGAAGTTTAGAACAGTCAGTCTGTTAATAAAGCAACAAATAAACCCAACATGTGTGTTAGATAATAAACTGCTGCTGTATTGTGTCTTGTTCTCTCCATCAGATGCCTGTGAAGTCAAAGTGGACACAAACACAGTAAACAGATACCTGAAACTGTCTGACAACAACAGGAAGGTGACAGCAGTGACAGAGAAGCAGCCATATCCTGATCACCCAGAGAGGTTTGACTGGTGTCAGCTGCTGTGTAAAGAAGGTCGGACTGGTCGCTGTTACTGGGAGGTCGAGTGGAAAGGAGATGTTCATATATCACTGAGTTACAGAGGAATCAGCAGGAGAGGAGACAGAAATTACTGCTGCTTTGGAGGGAATGATCATTCCTGGAGTCTAAGGTGCTCTGATGTTGATGGTTACTCTGTCTGGCAAAATAACATAAGAACAGTCCTCCTCCTCCCCTCCTCTTCCTCCTCCTCCTCCGTCTCAGAGGATACTAACAGAGTAGCATTGCATGTGGACTGTCCTGCTGGCATTCTGTCCTTCTACAAAGTGTCTTCTGACCAACTGATCCACCTCCACACCTTCAACGCCACATTCACTGAACCTCTGTATCCTGGGTTCTGGTTTGGGTTTGGTTCCTCTGTGTATTTGTGTTCCCCGTAGGAGGGAGAGTCTCCTCTGTTAGAGAAACACTGCTGACAAACACATACACACAGTTTTTGTCAGTAACACCAATTCAAAATGACTAGAAATCTTGTTTTGGTAAATGCACACTAATGTTAAATACTGTGAAACACTATTTTGATTGTCTTTTGAGTAAAAGTTAAATATGTTAGTTGAGGTTTACTTTAAATTCTGATTTGATCCTCATAATTATAGGTATATAATGTTTTCCTAATAGAATCAGGTTCCACAAATGCATATAAACAGTTTTTTAAAATCAGATTAATGTACCAATCATCTTACTGTGAAAATATGATGACAGTTTTTTGTAAATGGAGTGTGATATTTAGAAAATACATAACAAATTAGATTTGCTGTTGACCATTAAAGGTTGAAATGTCTTTCAATGGATTTTACCAATATACTGAATATACTGAAGTAATCACACAGCCACATTGGGTGTTTATTACTTTAAACTTTTTTCATAATTTCAATTCAAATGATCTGTATATACTTTGTTGATTTACATCCACATCTGGGGCCTGTAGTACGAAGCAGGTTCAACATACTCAGGATATCTTTTAGTTATCTGGCATCATCATTAGGGCACATGGAGAACTGACCATAATTACTTTTGTGTCTTCCATTAAATCAGTATGTTGCTTAGGTATATTACTATGGCAGATCTGACAATTTTAGCCTTATTATTTAAGCTGCAGTGGCTATTTATTGGTGTTTCCACATTTAAAGCCACAAGCACAAGAGACTTTAGTCTGAGGAAGATGACCTGTAACACTTAACTCAATTATTGTCAAGATTAAACAATGCACCAATATATCAACATGGAGACTGTAATGTAACTATCTGTTTTGTTGTTGTAACTGTAAGTCTACTACTGTATACAGTACATGCTGCTTCAGCGAACACAATATTCATCATGACAATTTATATCTTGTGCAATCTTTCCAAATTCAGAAGGTGTGTGCTGACATGTCTTATCTACCCTTTACCAATGTCTAGATTCACACACAAACCCTCAGGTCAACAATGCCTGCTGACAAAGATCCTGCTGTCTGATACACGAATACACAACATGACTGTAAGCAAACATTAGTCCTCTTTGACGAGACATGAAAAACTACAGTGTTGATTTATTGTAAACAGAAATGTAAGTCGAAGGTATGAATGACATGTTTTTTATCACGATACTATTATGGGACCAAATTCATTCAACAGTTCATAACCTAGCATAGGTTCAGTGGAAATCATCTATTTCTCATAAAAAAATAATTCTGAAGTTAGTTAAAAAACTAGATTTGTAATAGTGAATTATACATCTATCAAAACGGAAGATACCAAATGAGCGGTAGACTATATAAACAGAAATACTAAGTGACAGGGGTGTTTTTCTGATTGAAATCTTCTTTTGTAATGTTTTATATGATGGCGCTAAGCCAAAAGACATATATGGATGCTAAGGTAACAATAAAATACTTACCTGTAAAAAGAATATCACTCTTTTATGTTGTATTTTGTACATGTGTATGTGCCCCCACCAATATCCAGCAACTACTGTATTATCTCTTACAATAATTTTGATTAAAACAATTAAATTTACCCATTGTTGTCCGTCAATGTGTTCACAATGTATATTTAATACACAAACAGTGAACAGCTCTTGTTCCTTACTGCGAGTCCAATGAGTTTTTAATTTGAAGGTTGTCGTCCCTCATTATAAGCCTCACGGTGGTTTGGTCCACTGCCTACCTTTTTCAGACCCCCAGCAACTTTTTTTGTAAAAAGGGGACAAAGAGAAATATAAAAAAGTCTATTATAGTGAAGGCTAAATTCTTCCCCAACGTGCTGCTCTGTCAGCCTCTTACCCTCTTCTCTTGCACTGTGCGCATGCAGGCAAGATGCTCTGGTTATTGGGATGCTTGGTGTCTGTCTATGACAACAAGGTGGGGTGGTGGATTGTTCCATTAGTTGTCGCCTTGATTTGAACCTTCCATGAATATTATAAACTATGTAAATTATACATGATTAGATATTTATTAATTAATAAATAAATAATTAATTATCTGATTCTGGAGTGCCAATCCTTATACTTTTTTTAGTGTTTGTAATGTGTCTGATCAGAATATCAGTCATGTTTGTATCATTCTCCTGCTGGTTTATAGTTTTAACCTGACTGATAACATTTCTTGACTCCAACTACAGTTACAGTGTTTGACGCTATTTGCCAATGTCAGTTTTTCATAACATAGTTTTTAAAACTAATAAACTGTCTCACATGTCTTTGAATCCTGTGAGAGGAAATGTTCCTTAAATTTTCAAAAAGTTCGTAGTTTGGTCAGTCAGTTTAGATTTAGTCAATTCTGGATCCATTTTGGTCCATTTAAGTCCAGCTAAAAGCAAATGGAGAGTGTGGGGTATCGAGGTTTGTTAAAAGGATCAACCACTCAGCTCTTGTGTTTTTAGCAGAAGAGTTTGAAACGTTGAGAATCCGGTTACTGGTGAAGCAAACAGCTGATAACAGGACTGTAATGAGTGTGAAAGCTGGTTTATTGTTACAGCTGTTTGTTTTTTTATTTTATATTTATTTAACCTTTATTTAACCAGATGATCTCATTGAGATTTAAAACCTCTTTTTCAAGAGAGACCTGGCTAAAATAGCAGCACATTGACAGTGCACAGTTCCAAATACACCAACACCAAGCACACACACAACAAAGAACATTTAACAAGACTCTTAACATACACAAACAAATAATATTAGAATACTTAAAAGAACAATTTATTGTGAGAAATAAAGCAACAAACAGTGATTACTGTAAAGCTCAAAATGTCTACCGGACTGAGAGCAGAACTACATCAGCTGATTTGTAGTTTGTGTTTCAGACTGCAGCTTCAGCATGTTCTAGCGACAGCTGGAGAACCAGATCACAAGTGACTGCCCTGTTTTTCAATTGTATAACCACTTTTTTATTCGTTACTGGCAACATGCAACCTGAATCCTTAAAAGTATATTATCATACAATGTATTTAAGTAGATACTCAATTGTAACAGAAACTGTCGTCATTTCATGTAAACTGTCAGATTTGAGTGAATTTGGTGTCAGAAAGCTTCACTGGTCTCTCACACCAAAGGTATGTGTCTTATCCACTGTACCATCACCACAGAGTCATCAGTCAGAGTTTGTCATGTGAGTGAGAGGAACGCTGATAAATACTGACAGCCTGTCATGTTTGTGTGAAGGTGTGGTCTCTGCAATGAATCACTGTGAGGACAGAGAGAGGGAGTCCCTCCCTAAAAAGCACTCTGTGGGTGAAACGTGGCTGCCAGACCGAAGCTCAGAGGTGAGATGAGGATCTCTAACTGTCCCTGACTCTTCTGCATGTCACTCTCAAAGCTCTGTTTGTGTTGAAGCCCAGAGAAGAGGCAGAGACCAGACTCTCCTGGACCTGGACCCAGCTGTGTGTCCATCAAAAGCCACCAGTCCATGGATGACCGTGCTTGCTTTAAAGGACACCTTCCATCAGAGACTCAGTAAGTCTACATAATCCCAGCTAGCAGGAAACGTTCCCAAACGTTGCATCATGTTCTGTACCAATGTCGTTGGTACTAGGTGTCTGGCCTAATTGACCAGTCTCCAAGAGTGAGCCCATCGAGCAAGGACAATGCCTTCCCTTAGCCTCTCTGATCTATATCCTCTATGGGGGATGCATCTGTCAGGTTCAGGAGTTCTTCAAAGTGCTCCTTCTACTTCAGGTTGAGTTAACTGTTCTCAGGGCCTGCCGCTGGCATAGGTGACATAAGCTGTTGCTGTGGGCACAAAATGCCAGGGGGTGCCGCAAGAAAGTTTTTGACTTCAAAAACTCAACTCAAATCAAATCAACTCCGCCTGGCGTAAGCTGTGATAATAATCAACCGCACCTTGCGCTGTGAGTCCAGACAGTTGTGATGAGTGGTAACACAACTGGTAGAGTTTTTCAATATGAACATCTAAAAACTGGATCTGTTTGGGACTGTGAGCTGCACTTTATCGGAACTGCTGAAGTTAACGTGGTGGGATTTATGGCGAGATTTTTGCCTGATCATCGGTGTTTTCGGTTGTTTTTGGTTTCTCATGCAGCATGCAGTCCCAAACTGTGTCGGTCAAAGGGGATAGCCAATTATGACGTTAGTCTTGTAATATTGCGACTTTTATGGACATGTCAGAGAACACAGATATGTGGGAGCGACAAATGGGGGAGTCCATGTGTGGCATACTAAAGTGAATTGTTCAGGCCTGAATGCTTGACCCCTACAGTGGGAAAATCTGTTTTGCTTTGGGGGCTTTCTCATGGCGTGGTTTAGGTCCAAGTGTCCCCACAGAGGGAAAGGTCACTGCATAGCAATACAATCTTGTTCTGAGTGATCACCTTTGTCATATGATGAAACATTTCTTTCATGATGGGAGAAGTCTCTTCCAAGATGACAGTGCCAGCATCCATAGGGCACGGGGGCTCACTAAATAGTTTGTCATAGGTCAAAACCCAACCTCAGATCACTACCCATTAATTGAGCAGTCATACCCGTCTCCACGCAGGTTAAGAGTCTTGGTGTCATGCTGGACAGCACCTTCTCATTGTCCAGCCACATCAATAATGTATCCTGGACCACCTCTTTCCATCTGCGAAACACCTCCAGACGACATCCTGCTCTAACCCAACACTCAACGGAAGTTTTAGTAATTGCTTTGGTCACATCACGCATTGATCACTGTAATGCAATTTTAGCAGGCATTCCTAACAAGCTTATTCACCTCATTCAGACATAAACTCCATTCGTTCCCTGTGGCCTTTCACAATAAATCTCTTGGTTCTACCACCCATTAACCTCAGTACAATGGGTGCTAGGGGCTTCTCCTATGTTGCACCCAAACTTTGGAACTCTCTTACACCTGACATCCCTTTACTGGAGTCTATCACAAAATTCAAAACTTCTCTTAAAACTCATCTTTTCAAACTATCATACTCACTATAATAGTGTACAACACTGATTTTAATTTCTTTTATTGATCTTTTACTTTTTTGATGCTCTTTTACTGATACTACAGTATGTATTATGGCTGCTAGTCTTATTTTATGATGTAAGGCAACCTTCAAATAAAATGTTTTATTTATAATTTGTCATTATATAGAAATATGTCATACTTTATGTTTTTCCGCAGAGTTGAGCAGCCTCTCTGTGGTCAGTCTGTCCAGCATCATCCAACAGACCTGGACTCTATATTTATGGTGTGTAAATGTCCAATAACAACAACTTTTATGTCAGCTGCAAAAGAAATGAAAAACATAACCTAAAGTTTTTTTCTTTTCCAGCAACTTGAGGAAAACATTGTTACATTTGTGAAGAATGAGCTGAAGCACTTCAGGAAGGTTCTAAATCCAGATTACCCAGAATGCTTTGAGAGAGAGAGTGAGGATGAGGAGGTGGTGGACGGTAAGGAGGAAGACAAGAGAAGAAGCAGCAGAAAGGCATTTTTGAAGATCACACGGCACTACTTGAGTAGACTAAAGCAGGAGGAGCTGGCTGACTGTCTGCAGAGCAGTAAGAGGATTTTCCACACCAAACCTTTCTCATATTAATGCTAACATCCACTCACTGCTTTGTTGTTTTTTCCATTCAGGAACTGTTACTGCAGTTTGTCAACATCAACTCAAATCTAACCTGCAGAAGAAGTATCTGTGTGTGTTTGAGGGGATTACTAAAGCAGGAAACCCAACCCTTCTGAATCAGATCTACACAGAGCTCTACATCACAGAGGGAGGGACTGCAGAGGTCAATGATGAACATGAGGTCAGACAGATTGAAACAGCATCCAGGAACCAGACAGACCAGAAACAACCATCAGACAAGAAGACATCTTTAAAGCCTCACCTGGAAGAGATGAACCAATCAGAACAGTGATGACAAAGGGAGTGGCTGGCATTGGGAAAACAGTCTTAACACAGAAGTTCACTCTGGACTGGGCTGAAGACAAAGCCAACCAGGACATACAGTTCACATTTCCATTCACTTTCAGAGAGCTGAATGTGCTGAAAGAGAAAAAGTACAGCTTGGTGGAACTTGTTCATCACTTCTTCACTGAAACCAAAGCAGCAGGAATCTGCAGCTTTGAAGAGTTCCAGGTTGTGTTCATCTTTGACGGTCTGGATGAGTGTCGACTTCCTCTGGACTTCCGCAACAATGAGGTCCTGACTGATGTTACAGAGTCCACCTCAGTGGATGTGCTGCTGACAAACCTCATCAGGGGGAACCTGCTTCCCTCTGCTCGCCTCTGGATAACCACACGACCTGCAGCAGCCAATCAGATCCCTCCTGAGTGTGTTGACGTGGTGACAGAGGTCAGAGGGTTCACTGACCCACAGAAGGAGGAGTACTTCAGGAAGAGATTCAGAGATGAGGAGCAGGCCAGCAGAGTCATCTCCCACATCAAGACATCACGAAGCCTCCACATCATG